CTTGTTTTACAAGATAATAACTCTATTAATTTAATTAAAAAATAAAAAGAAAACATTCCATATTTCCTAATTTATTTTTCCTTTTTAATCATACATTTTAATCCTAATTCTAAATTGTTAATTCATCTACAACTCTACCGCTTTACCACTTGGAACTGATTTGTAACTTTACTCTTAGAATTCTAAATTTTTAATTTGTTCCTAAAATGATATTCTTATTCTCCTAATTAAACTCTAAAAAAGCATTATTTTAAAAGTTTTAAAACTATATAATAGTATTAGTCTTGATATTTTACCATTTTTGAATGTTTGATTGAGGAATTTTAAATCTTGATTATGAATGCTTCTAATAAATCCTAGTGATATTTATATTAAATTTTATTCACTTTTAACAAGATTAAGAAGATGGGATTGAATCATTAGTGCATTAAGGAAAAAAAACACTAATTTTAACCTTTAAAAATCACTTGTATTGCACTCGAAATTTAGAATCATCTTTTATTGGCCTTAGTGCCTCTAGTGATATAGATAAGAAAAATTTTTAGATCTTTTCAATTTTTACAATTGTAAATGAGTATAATAACTTATTTATAATATGTACATTTTATTATGTTTCTACTTACTTGGATGTTAATATGTTTTATACTTATATTTTCTACTTGATCTTAAAATTTTTTACATTATATCATACATTTAATAATGTTAAAAACTAATTCACTTGACTGAACTACACTGATCTAATTTAAGTTAAATTGATATAATTATCATATAATGGTAGATTGAATTGATTTAAAAATATTAAAATTTAAATCAAATCATATTGCAAACACCCTAAGCTAACTCTTGTGTCATATTCAAAGTTTGTACTCCTTTTTTTTTAAACAATTTATATAATAAGAAGCAACTATTTTTCTTTCTTTCTTTCTTTTTTTCTTCACTTTATTGTATTGTAACTTAATCAACTCAAACTTTCAATTTTTGGGGGGACGAACATTACCATCAGACCTTCAATTGAGGGGGTAAATTGTTTTAATTTAAAAGACAATTGACCATATATTATATATAAGATTAATATTTATCTACCTTA